TTTTTAAAAAATGCCTAACGGCAGACACAGAAAGGTGGAGAGAACTCTCCCAACACCCAACCACGGGCAGATGATGTGGGCATCACCTCAGCGTGGTGGGGAAAGCTTTGGACAGCAGGCTTCCCAACTCAGCTTTGTGGGTCAGCTCCCTCTGGGCCTCAGTTTCCCCACCTCAAAAATGAAAGTAACTCAGCTGAATCAGCAATTTCTCTTTTTTGTTTTTTCTAAGCTGTAGGGCCCTGTTTTCCAATTGAATCCTCCTCAGAAGATCAATATGACAGTCACGGAAATGGAGCATCTGTGGTTGATGAAAGCTCGGCACCCCTGCTCACTGTCCCCAGAATTGCCCCAAGGCTCCGGGGATCCAGAGGGCCCATGTGGGAACCATCAGGATCCAATGATCATCATTGTGGTCCCTTCCTGACTCTCAAGGGAAGCTCCGATCACCCAAACACCAGGTTAAAACAAACCAAGCCCCTCATGCTGACTTGAGTCAGAGGCACAGACACTTAGCGATCTGCAGCAGGGAGGGAAGGAAACCAGACAGTTCCAAACCACACTGGGCCTGGGGCAGGAGAGGGGGAGGCCCAGACTGCCATCCCATGAGGCAGGAAGGGCCCTGACCCGGACCCCTTGGAGTCACAGACCAGAGTGTAGAGTGAATTAGAAGGGAAACCCCCTCCTGTAAAGGTGGAGGGCCTAAGGCTCAGAGAGGGTGGCAATTGGCCTGAGGTCACACAGCGCCTAGTAGCGGAGCCAGACCTGGAGTCTGGGTCTCCTGGACGTGATGCAGAAAAACCCCCACGTGTTCAAAGTTCAGATAGATTCAGCAGGAATGTCCAGGGAAAAGCCCCCAGCTTGCAAACTCAGAACAGGATATTTTGGTGGCACTGGGTGGTGACAGGGCAGAGATGTTTGTTTTGGTTTCCAAATCAATGCTTGACAACCTTGTTGGCGTTACAGTTTCGGCAACCACATTTCACGGTGAAGAGCTCAGAGCTGGTTGGACCAAAGGGAAACCAAAAGCCGTAGCGAACAGGCCAGGGGCTGTGGTTTGGGTTGCGTGTTTCCAAAGCATGGCTCCTATACCACCGATGGCACATGAGATGATCTGAGGCGGTTCACAAGTGACTCTTTGTGTTTAAAGTCTACCGACTACAGAGGTGAGCGAATAAATAAAATGTGGTCTGTCCGCACAGTAGAACGTTATTCGCCAATCTAAAGGAAGGTACTCCTGGAATTTGCTACAACACGGATGTACCTCAAAAGCACTAAGTGAAAGAAGCCAGACACAAAAGACAATCTATGGTATGATTCCATTTCTATGAAGTGTCCAGAAGAGGCAAATCTATAGAAACAGAAAGCAGATCTGTGTTGCCTGGGCTGGGTGGGAATGGCGATTAACTACAAATGGTCATGAAGGATCTTTTGGGGGGGGGGGGATGCAAGTATTCTAAAACCGGACGGTGGTGATGGTTGCACAACTCTATGGATTTACTTAAAAAAAAAAGAATCACTGAATTGTGCGCTTAAAATGAGAGGATTTTAGGATATGCAAATTCCACCGCAGTAAATCTGTGAAAGGATATTTTACACCAGGAATAATGTGGTGGTAGGTGGCTATGGCTGCACATCCCGGACGGGGACCCCAAAGGCCCCCAGCTTAGACAACACAGAGCTGCACATCCCAGGCTGCCCTCTGGGGAAGCAAGTGGGGGGTGTCCAAGGCTGTGAGTTCCTCTGGGGGTGGGGGGGACCAGAGGAAACCCGGGAACCTTTCCTTTCCTGGCACAGGTGCCGTCCAGTGCTCACGGCTTGGGGCTCCATGCTAGACATCCCGAAAGGATGTAAAGGCTTCAGTGGCCAACAGTGCAAGCAAACCCCATGGTCCCATCCCTCAGACTGTGCCTTCTCTCATGGACAGGGGCCCAGAAGTGGGCCGGGAGTTCCAATGCAAGATTATATTTTGTCAAGACCTTCTGAGATCATCTAGCCCGGTGGTTTTTTAATTTTTTTTTTAAGTTTATTTATTTTGAGAGAGAGAGAGAGAGAGAGAGAGAGAGCAGAGGTAAGGGCAAAGAGAGAGGGAGAGAGAGAGAGAGAGAGAGAGTGAGAATCCCAAGCAGCCTCTGCAGCATAGAGCCTCAACTGAGACGGGGCTCAGTCTCAAGAACCATGAGATCATGACCATGACCAATGCAGAGTCGGATGCCTAAGAGCCACCCAGGCACCCCTAACTTTTTTTTTTAAGTGGTTCAGATGTCTGCCCTCCTCCCAAGAGAAAATTCTTATGAGAAGCCCAAATACAGAAACAGGTAAAAACAGAATGCTACTTGTATACATTTATATTGTAAGTTCAAATATAGATATTTCAAATATAACCATTCTAAATTCAATCAGTGAAGTTGACGAGGCTATTTTGATTCATTAACACTTAGAATGGGGACTACAGATGACAGCACCACTTTCCATTTAATTCTGTTTCCAGTTTTGGCTGCAGAGTTTCACGAAAATCCTGACTCACACAGATAAGTAGCTACAAATGGGAATGGTTTTTAGCGGTTTGCTCTGCAATGTCAGAGTACTCTTCAGACAAATAGAGAAGGCAGGAGGGTGGCTCTAACTTGAGGCCAACTACTAATACGTTAGTGTGTCAGTGGACTTCAAGGAGTTAACGTGAACTTAAAAAGTGAGCACATGTTGGTGCGCCTGGGTGGCTCAGTGGGTTAAGCACCCGACTTCGGCTCAGGTCATGATCTCACTGTTCGTGACTTCAGGCCCCGCGTTGGGCTCTGGGCTGGCAGCTCGGAACCTGGAGCCTGCACGGATTGTGTGTCTCCCTCTCTCTCTGCCCCTCCTCCCCCCCTCAAAAATAAATAAATGTCAAAAAAAATTTTTTTCAAGTGAGCACATGTTTATAACCATACTTAACATTTTAATATAATTTAAAATATTAAGTCTCATGTAATATTCAAGGACCCCCTCCCCAACAGCATCTCTAAGGAAGCATGAGGCTTCGGAGAGCATGGTTCTAACCCACTCACCCCTCACTTTACAGATAGGGAAGCTGAGTCCCACAGAAGAGAGTATACTTGCTTTGGAAAAATCCAAAAACTTGAGCCCCGAATCAACTTCAGAAAAGATGCGCCTCCCCGGTTCACAAAAAAAAAAAAAATGGAGGAAGGGAAGGTGCTCGTGCAGCCCAGAGGGTGGGAGGAAGGCACCCACACTCCACCTGCCTCAGCAGTGGCCATCTCATTCCAGGCCAACGCCAGAGGCTGACATCACACCCCACGCCCTGGGTGCAACTTGAACAGAGCATTGCTCAACGCCAACCTATCTCCCTTTGAGATTGGGCACGGTTTTTCCATCCCCTTAGTCGCCCGGTCCAAAACAGCACACACAATAAAACAAACACGGCACAAGCCTGGGGCATGACGACACAATCAACAGTGGCAGACAGAAGGGCCCAGCCCTCCGTGTTTCACCATCGAGAGCAAGTGCCTGTTCCCCTACCCCACCCCGGCGAAGCTGCCCACAGAGGCAGAGGTAGCCTTCCCATGGCCATGGCGGGCCACCAGGCCATTCTCAAGTCCTCAAGAGAAGACCAGCCCGGGAGAGGAGCTCGTTCCCCCAACGGGGTGTAAGACCTCCCACTGAGGGTCAGGCCCTGCCTGAGACAGACCTGAGACTTGGGCCTCTGCTCCACGCTGGCCTGACACAGTCTCTCGTCTTTAACATCAACGGATTACTTCTCCCCTTCTGCAACCCTGGGTAGATTTTATTACGCCAGTCTCTCTAAATGAGCAAAGAGGCTTCCAAATGGTTCAACAATCTCCCTGGCCAGTGATGGAGCCGGCATTTGAATCCAGCCCAGTGGAGGAAAAGGAAGGAGACCCACACCTAGCTCCCTGGGCAGACCTGTGTGCTCATGCGAGCCCCAGGACTCAAGGAGTAGAAGGAAAGATCCTTCTCGCAACATGCTCCAAACAGAGGCTCCCAATGCGGAGAGCTGCCCATGCCGGGGACAGCAGAGGGCCCTGCCCCCACCCAGGCCCGAGAAGCTACAGACAGACCCCTCTCCTCTTATTGGAAAGCTGAGCCATCAGCCCTGTAGGCCAGGCTGCAGGCAAGCAGGAAGCAGTGTCAGTGTCCCAGCTGGGGAATCGGGACTGGGCAGGAATGTGCAGGCTGGTCCTGCAGGCAGTGTGCCCCCCCACACTAGCCAGAGATGGTGGTCTGGGTCCACTCAATGTCTAGTTTTCAGCCCAAGGTCCTCGCCTCCTTTGGGCCTTTCAGGACAGCAGTGGGGTGGAGAGAAGAGGGATGAAGAGTAGGCCCCGCCACCTGGACCTTGCAGAGCCAGAGCAAAATGGCAGACTCTGGCCCTAGTGGGTAGGGACAAATCTACCCATTTTCAAACATATGGTCTCATTTAATTCAAGGAACAAAAAACCAGTAGTTTGGTTGAGGTTTTTCTTTTCACCCGCGGAGGGAGAGGAGCCCACCCCCTACAGCCTTGGAAAATACCTAGAGCAGCAGACAAACTAGCCAAAAGTCTTTCCATTCACTAGTCGTTCAAATCCTGGTTTCACCACTATCAGCCAAGTCACCCTAGGCAAGTCACTTGCATCCCTGTGCCTCAGTTTCCTCACTTACAAATCGGGGATAAGAATGCCTTACGCTCTGCGTTGGCGTGAGGATTAAATGAGATCACCTAAAACACCAGTGGTTATTATGTCACCTAGAAAGCAACCTGCCTCGACCAATGACAGCGCCGAGGTGTCCCCTATGGTAGTCAGCGCCAGCCCCCATTCTTGGAACTAGATAACTGAGTTTTCCAAGCGCGTGTAGGGCGCCAGGCAAACACAGCTCCCAGCCCACCTGCTAGGACCAGCTGGCCGCCCCCGGCCCCTCCCCAACGCACGCATTCCGCGGCCTTCGGGACCTGGACGCCCCCTCCCCGGGAGCTGCGCGGGGGAAGGGCAGTCTGCACTCACCTCCGCTTGTACTCGTCGCGCTCGCGCTTCACCTTGGCCAGCACGTTGTAGAGCGCGCGTATCTCCGGCGTGATGGTGTCGATCTGCACGCCCACGCCGTCGGGGTGCACCCACGACACGCCGGGGCCCTGCACCGTCTCCACGCCGCCGCCGCCCGTGCGCCGCACCTGCGTGTAGCTCCAGATGGTCCCGGGCAGGCGGCCGTAGTGCTGCGGGTGCGAGCCGCCGCCGGGGGGCAGGCCGCCCAGGGCCACG